AGCTAATAAAAGCTCGTCAGGTGAAACTATGAAGTGGGCTTCCAAGGAACTTTTGGATGTAGTCGCGCACATGAGACGTGGTGACATATCTTTCTTACCTCATTCAGAAGTACATGCTCTCCTGCTGGATTATATAAAAAGATACAATCTTCGTGATCCCCGTCGTAAAAGCCAGGTTATTTGCGACTCCAAGCTTCAGAATTTGTTCGGAAAATCTCATGTTGGGCACTTTGAGATGTTAAATCTCCTTGATACCCATTTCCTGGACAAGGAGCAACAGCAAGTAAATGATATTCAAGGTAGCATTGATGATACAGAACCTGATCATGTGGATGTTGATGAAAACTTCGGCCATCCTGTGAAAAGTGGCAAGGATAAGAAACGTAAAACACGTAAAAAGAGTGTCAGGAAAGGAGGGTGTCAATCTAATCTTGATGATTTTGCTGCTATTGATATGCACAACATTAATTTAATATACCTAAGGCGGAGCTTGGTGGAAGATTTACTTGGAGATTCTACAGCATTCGAAGAAAAAGTAACTAGTGCATTTGTTAGGTTAAAGATACCTGGAATTCAAAAGCAAGATTTATATCGACTGGTTCAAGTTATTGGTATGTCTAGTCTCTAATTTTAGAGATTATTTTAATATTTTTTAATTCAAAGGTTGACTTAAGTTCTATTTGGTCCGAAACATAGGCACACCCAAAGCTCCTGAACCCTATAAAGTTGGCAAGAAAACAACCGACTTCGAACTTGAGATACTGAACTTGGACAAAAAAGAAGTGATATCCATTGACGTTATATCAAATCAAGATTTCACTGAGGTGACACACTCCTGCTGATATCCATCATGATTTTCCTGTCATTGAACATGTTCTGATTTTTGACCCTACATAAGTAATTATGTTGCACTTGCATATGTTGACAAGCCAAGGAGGCAGTGGTTGGTGTTTTCACTATTTTCTGAGCAACCTTCTTCTGACTAGTGAGTAGTATTTGTTCAAGAATGCTATATGTTTAACCTCAAACTTTCGTGCAATAATTTTAGGATGAATGCATGCGTCTAAAGCAGAGCATAAAATGTGGATTAATCAACAGGCTGTCAATGGTATGCTTCATATTAATTGATGTCTTCATTTGATTGTGTCTAAAATTTCTGCCAAGCATGGTGCTTTTACTATTTAGGTTTTTTAATGTCAATTTGTTGTTAGGGTGATATACAAGAAAAGGCCATAGCGCTGCAGGAAGTGAGAATAAAAAACGTAAGTTGTTTTGTCCTGTTGACGCTATTTTATGTCTCTCATCCTCCATTTGTTCATTATTATATGTACTGTGACTGATCTCTCTAGATTAGGAGACGGAAATAACTGCATTAATCTGTCTACGCGATGAGCATGATTGTAGTTCTATCGTCTCTCTTAGGTTTTGGGTTTCGGGATTTCAGTTTTCTTAACAAAGCAAAGCGATCATGATAGCATTGGAAAAATTTAACAAAATATGTACATATGATGCTTTAGTTTTCAAATTTGTTCCGTTCTGAATGCAGTTGCTGGAAGCAGAGATCCTACGTTTCAGTCATTTGCGCGATCGGGCTAGTGACATGGGCCACAGAAAAGAATATCCTTATCTGTTGAAACTTTTGAGTTCTTTGTCAAAATGATGATTGACTAGTATGCTCTTGAAATGCTTCTCTGTGTGTATGTATTTATACTTCGGGGAAAGAGCATCTGATCTGTCATTTGTAGTGGAAAGCATATAATTTCATTTTTTTTTTATTCACTTACGTAAGTATTCCTTGATCTATGGTTACGCTGCGAGAATGTGTTGAGAGACTGCAAAAGCTGAAGTCTCCAGAGGAACGGCAGCGCAGGCTAGAAGAAATTCCAGGAATACATGGTGATCCCAAAATGGATCCAAATTGTGAGTCCGAAGATGAAGATGGAAAAGAAGAAAAGGAAAAAGGTTTCCGTTACTAAATCAAGTTTTTATTTTCAACAAAACGAAACTCTGAAGTGTTTTGTATCTATTGTTGTTCTAACATCTTCTATCTTTGGCTGTTCTAATGCATGTAGAGAGAAATATGAGGCCGCGAAGTAGTAGCTTCAACAGAAGAGGAAGAGACCCGATATCTCCACGAAGGGGGGGATTTAGTTCCAATGAATCATGGACTAGCACAAGTAACTTCTCAAACAATCGGGAACTAAGTAGAAGTTATTCAAGTAGAGGCTCTACTGGCAGAGAAGATTATCTTGGTAGTTCCGAAGAAAATGTTAGTGAAAGTATGTGGACTTTAGGTAGAAAAAGAGAAATGCCACAATCTTCAGGCTCTGAGAAACCGAGATCTGTTTCTATTCCTGAACCTGCTCCCAGAAGTTCTCATACTATTGTGCAACCAGAATTGTCTCCTCGAATTGTCCCTGAAAATTTAACGGCACCTCCTGCTGTTGTTCCGCAGCCTGCTCCCATGTCAAATGAGTCAGAGAAAATGTGGCATTACAAAGACCCATCTGGTAAAGTTCAAGGATCTTTCTCCATGGCACAACTCCGTAAATGGAACAACACTGGCTATTTCCCTGCTAAGTTGGAAATCTGGAAAGCAACAGAGTCACCATTGGACTCTATTCTCCTGACTGATGCATTAGCTGGATTGTTTCAGAAGCAAACCCAGCCGGTGGATAATAGCTATGAGAAATCTCAGGTAGCAGCTTATTCAGGTCAACCAAGCCAAACCGCTCCATCAATCCTTGATATTCCCAGGAATTCCCAGGATACTTGGAGTTCCGGTGGTAGCCTTCCATCGCCTACTCCAAATCAAATTACAACTCCAACCGCGAAAAGGCGAAATTTTGAGAGCAGGTGGTCTCCAACCAAGCCATCTGCACAGTCATGTGATCAGTCGATAAATATGTCTTTAGCACAATCTGGCCCGAGTCAAGTTTCTAGGACAGATATCCCTATGGTAGTAAACTCTGCTGGTGCACTGCAGCCTAATACCCACCGTATTCCAGGGACAGATATGACTAACTCTTCTAATAATCACTACGGTTCTGCTCCCACTCTTCCATCTCCAACACCGGCAGGCGGAAAGCAAAGCTGGAGTAACATGCAGACATATAAATTTGATTCTCATGGTCGTGGAGGAGGTGAGGCTCCCTCTTCTTCTGCGTCTTATGTCACCGCAACTCCAAGTATTCTCCCCTCGCAAAGCCAACAAGGATATCCCCAATCTGATCCATGGAGGGTTCCAATTCCAAGCCAACCGAATACTCAGTCTCAGGCACGAGCTAATAACGAACCATGGGGCATGAACAACAGCCAAAATGCAGGACAACCTCAGGCTCCTCAATCAAACCAAAATAGTGGCTGGGGTCAAGGGACTGTAGATCCAAACATGGGATGGGCTGGTCCTGTGCAAGCTGGAATGAACGTTAACTGGGCTGCACCTTCTGTTCCGCCAACTGGTCAGGGAATGCCAAACCCTGGCTGGGGCGGGTCTGTCCAAGCAAAACCACAACCACAAGCTTATCCAAACACCGGGTGGGGTACTGTAGCAGGCCAAGGTCAAGCTCCAGGGAGCACTACAGGCTCGGGATGGATGCAACCAGGTCAAGGGATGCAGCCTGGGAACAGTAATCAAAACTGGGGAACTCAAAATCAGATAGCAATTCCAAGCTGGGGAAACCAACAGAACCAGAATAGAGATTCTGGTGGATATGGTTGGAATAGGCAATCAAGTGGGCAGAATAACTTCAAAGGGCAAAGAGTATGCAAGTTCTATCAAGAAAATGGGCATTGTAGGAAAGGAGCATCCTGCAATTACCTTCACAACTAAATCAGCTTCTTTCTCTCTCGATCTCTCTCCCTCTCTCTTACTGCTTTTGGATGCTGTCTGCATCCTCAAAAAGCAGCTTTAGGCGTTTGAGCCAATTTGGTTTTATGCACAATAGTCTTTTGTTTAGAGCCTCTCATTAAGAATTAACTAACATGTTTTCTTTATTTTGGGTGGGTGGGTGGGGCTTAGGTCTTTAGTATTAAAATGTCGTGGTGATATAAGGGTAAATACTCTTACATATAATATTTGCTAGGCCAACTATATATGTTTGTCTTGAAACTTCCTTTTAAAGGAGTCTTTTCTCGGAAACTATGCATGTTTCAACTAAGCCTTTTCCTTTTTAAAACACCAGAAAAAAAAAAAACTAATAAAATTTGTTTTTAGTTGATGACAAACTTTTAGTCTTAAAGAAACATAGCGGCATAGCCAAACAAGTGTACAAACATAGGTCTTTTAATGAACAAACATAGGGCATATATTCTTCAGTTTCTTTGTCATGTGAAATTATTATTTATATACAAAAATGGTAATAAGTTGATATACGAATAAGTCATTCTTGGACTTAAAAATAAATATAATATTAGAACTACATTTTTTTAATCAATGAATACCAATAAAAAGTGTTGATTGAAACTTTCCAAAAAAATTCAAAATTAAGTTATAAAAGAAACTATAGAAAAATATCATGAGAATGCATACTATTGCCATAAGAAATTTCTTTATAATATGATTTAGACCGGTTTATGTATTAGTTTTAATCATTAAACACACATACAAATTATATATATATATATATATATTTACTATACTTTTAAACACACCGGTAAGTGTTCTTTCTATACCCAAATGGTTAAAGCTACTTCAAACTTTAAAGCATGTCATTTTTCGATTTTTTTTTTTTTTATTACATTATTATTACTTACATCGTTAATGTATACTACAGTTTACATCTACTAATAAGACTCCCTTTATTTTTTTATTTTATTTGTTTGTTACTAATTAATTATGTTGATTTTGTAATAAAGTGACAATAAAATTGATTAATTAGAATATTCATTGTCCAAATTAAGCTGTGAAGTTATATATTGAACATCAACATGTCAATTGTATTATCTTCTTGAGAAATTATATGCTAGTTTGTGCTATCAGATGCCAAAACTCAATTACATTTATAATTTAGGTCTTATAATTATTATTTTGCTTGGATTACATATCTTTTACAGGATAATATTCTATAATAGCTTTTAAATTTTACAAAGGCAAATAAATCCAGTTATATCATCATTCGATGTTGGATTTAAGCATAATCCTCCTTTAGGAAATTTCTGGTCGATGCATTTTTTGTTGCAGTTTTCTATTTCTCCACATGGATTGTCTGGAATATTCTCCATCAGCAACGAATTCTCGTATTTTGTAGAATATATATCTCTTGTTGCATGACCTTGAAAGAATTGAAAGATAATTAATTTCTCATGAATTGATATGCACAAAAAAATGCAGAATAACTGATCAGTTTGAAAAATCTACAAAAATGCAGAATAACTAATTAATTTCTCATGAATTATTAGTTCCCAAAAGAATATCTACAAAATTTGAAAAATCTAATTACATATTTTGGTAAAAAATAATGATAAATGTTTCTTTACGTATTCACAAAAAAATAAAATTTGTTATCAATTTACAAAATAGGTTAGAGATATAGTTAAAACTTAAAATCAACTTGACGTTTTGATGTCAATATTTCAAAAACCTTTGTTTCCTAACGATTTTTAAAATCTTTTTTTTATTGCGTTTGAAGAGTTCTATTTTTCACATACAATAAGAAATTATTTTATTATATACGACACTTCAAAAATATAATTCAAAAGATTTTTGACATACCTCAAAGATTTAAACTATAATTGTCTCGAGAACATGCTAACCAATGGAGAAAAACAAAAAACATACCTGAAATTATAAGAAGAGCAATACACAGAAATGTAAAAAAGAAGCATTTGTGTGAAACCATTTTTCTTCAGTTTTCAACAATGTTTTTGTGTAGTTGATTTCTCTTCAAGTGGTATATATAGAGAAAAAAATTATACAATAAAAATTGAATTATTTTTTATTATCTTTTTGTATATTTAGTCAATGTAAACATGACAAATGGAAGCAAATGAGTACAATATTGATATATATATATATATATATATATAAGAAATTAGATAATATACAGTATATACTCCATTTAAATTAAAGATAGCTTTTTGATATAAACAACTAAACAAATAAACAACTAAATAAGGTTATTCAAAACTGCCAAAGAAAAGACATAATTTACCAAACCTAATTTAATAACATAGAAATATTTTACACTTCTCGACAAATTTCTTTTCTTCTTTTTTGACAAGTGGAGCAGCACGCTCAACCGTTGAGATTTGTGAAACGTCTTCTATGCATCCATTCAACAAAAATCAATGAAATGCATGCATGGAATTAATAACTTATAATAAAAATTAACAACAAAAATAAATAGAATTGGAACAAAAATATTATTGGGCGATGCTGAGCAGCACAATGTTTTAAGTACACATAGAATATTAAAAGCAATGGTTAGCTTTCATTAGGCCTATTACTAAAGATGTACTCCCTCCGTTTCATAAAGAGTGTCATTCTTACATTTTTCACACATATTAAGAAAATTATAAAAGTACAACTTTGTCCTTTATAAATATATTAAATAATTTATTTTTATTTAATACATACATTAAATTAATAGGGTTAAAACTAGAATATTGTTTAAAATTTTGCATTGAAAATTTAAAACGACACTCTTTGTGAAACAAAAATAAAACCTTAAAACGACACTTTTTATGAAACGGAGAGAATACAATTTTTTAGATCGCGATGGATCGGCTCATAAGAACCACAATCTGTATTAGTATGTGAACCAAACAAGCGGGTCAGCGTCCAGTTACAAATTTGCTTACAAATAAATTTGAAAGCTGCTTCAGTGTTTATAAAGAAAATGGGATATTCTTAACAGGGTTATCAAGGAAGAACATGATAGATATGTTGTTGTCTCTGCTCTATACTTTTTGGTAGCTTATAATCTTTATGAGACATTTTTTGACCCTTTAAGAAATCTTCATTTGTCTTTATCAACAAAAAAAAAAAGAAACCTTATCTGCAAATTCCCACCGATATAGATCCATTATTCTCTATCAAATTGGCAAGAATCAAGCATTATTTAAATGGAGTCACATGAATCATTATAGTCGTTTCTAATTTTCTAAGACTACATTCTACATTCACTGCAATTAGAGAAAATTAATGGTTACACGCAGAGTCGGGTTTGAGTACATGCTGATCAAGCATTGGCTTGGGGCTGGTAGATCCATAAATATATTTGGGGTCAATTTTTGATACTGCCATCAGATCAATTAAAGAATTGTGTGGGATTATGTTCATTGGTAGACAATATTTTTAAGCTAAACACTTTTTTTCCAGGTTATGGAACCACAAGTAAACATTTTAATCCAACTATACATCGTTCTTATTTTTTGTAACTTCATTCCCTTCCGTTTTGAAACCATTTTCTTTTGAAAAAATAAACTCTTTCATCAAACATGTATAATCAAATTTTTTAGTCAATACTTGTTTCAATCGACAACATCGACAATCCATTCAATATTACCGGTGACATAATCGACTGACTTTGCGAAAGCAAAAAAGCTTAACATGGTATTTCATGAGTTATTATTATTATTTTTTTTTAATATTGAAGAGAATAATAGATTCTGATTTTGAAAAATAGGCCAAGTATCTTAGAATTTGGATTTCTTTCTCGGAGAGCGAGACGAAGGAAGGCAAGAGAGAAAAGCATCGAGCATCAGTGATCATGGGTCAAGGACCATCAGGTGGGTTGAATCGGCAGGGAGATCGAAAACCAGATGGTGGAGAGAAGAAGGAGAAGAAGTTCGAGCCAGCCGCTCCACCGGCTCGTGTCGGGAGGAAGCAGCGGAAGCTCAAGGGACCTGAGGCGGCTTCCCGATTGCCGACGGTGACTCCTTCTACCAAGTGTAAGCTTCGATTGCTGAAAATGGAGCGGATCAAAGATTATCTGCTGATGGAGGAAGAGTTCGTGTCGAATCAGGAGCGGCTGAAACCTCAGGAAGACAAGGCTGAGGAAGATAGATCTAAGGTTGATGATCTTCGTGGGACGCCAATGAGTGTTGGGAATCTCGAAGAGCTTATCGATGAGAACCACGCTATTGTTTCTTCTTCGGTTGGCCCTGAGTACTACGTTGGGATTCTGTCTTTCGTGGACAAGGATCAGCTCGAGCCTGGATGCTCCATTCTGATGCATAACAAGGTTTTTCAACTAGGGTTTCGATCTATTGATATCGGCTTTTGCTTGTCATTAGTTAATAGAGTAACTTGATGGAACTTATCTTGTTTCGACACTTGCTCGTTTTGTGCTAGGTTCTCTCCGTTGTTGGGATTCTCCAAGATGAGGTTGATCCAATGGTGTCTGTGATGAAAGTGGAGAAAGCTCCTCTGGAGTCGTATGCTGACATTGGAGGTTTAGAAGCTCAAATTCAGGAGATCAAGGAAGCAGTTGAGCTCCCTCTAACTCATCCTGAGCTTTATGAAGATATTGGAATTAAGCCACCAAAGGGTGTGATCTTGTATGGTGAGCCTGGCACTGGGAAGACATTGCTTGCTAAGGTTCTCCTTCTTCTTTCAGCTCCTAGTGTAGCAAGTATTAAAAGCCCCTTTATGAAGCTGGAAATTCCCGGTTAGGCTGACTCTAGAGAGATAAATTAGTCAGAGCCGTGGCTTCTTTGGCTAGATTAGGTGTATTAGACCAGAGTATTAAGGATATATCAGGTGGAGGTTTTTAACTGTTTTTTTCTACGTCCCAAGCATGGAATATTGCACTGTGGTCTCTTGCTATTTGTTCTAGGATTTGTAAAGTTTGCAACTTTGGATGATAAGCAAGTATTGGTATTCTTTCAGGCAGTGGCGAATTCTACATCAGCTACATTCTTGCGTGTTGTCGGTAGTGAACTGATTCAGAAGTATTTGGGTGATGGTCCGAAGCTTGTGAGGGAGCTATTCAGGGTTGCAGATGACCTTTCACCATCGATTGTTTTCATAGACGAGATCGATGCTGTTGGTACCAAGCGGTATGTCTAATTCAACTCAAAACATGATACTCCACTTTTCAGAGATGGTTTCTATAATCTGATATATATATATATATCTATATACTATGGTGGTCGAAACAGGTATGATGCACACTCTGGTGGAGAACGGGAAATACAAAGAACCATGTTGGAACTACTGAACCAGCTTGATGGATTTGATTCGAGAGGAGATGTTAAAGTCATCCTCGCGACAAACAGAATCGAAAGTCTAGACCCGGCACTTCTAAGACCAGGCAGGATCGACAGGAAAATCGAGTTCCCTCTTCCAGATATCAAAACAAGAAGACGTATCTTCCAGGTACTAGAATTGATGATCCTGATTTTTTTTTCTTTTTTAAAGAAATGATCTGGTGGGTGGGTTTATTAATTGCATATGCCATTATTAGATACACACGTCAAAGATGACTTTGGCTGAAGATGTGAACCTAGAAGAGTTTGTAATGACGAAAGACGAGTTCTCAGGAGCTGATATAAAGGCAATATGCACAGAAGCTGGTCTGCTTGCTCTAAGAGAGCGTCGAATGAAAGTAAAGATTCTTTCTGATTCGCCATACATTTGGCGCTAGCTTAATAACCCCTTAGGACTTACTTTTAACATATTTAACCATATCTGGTGTAATGTGATTTAGGTGACGCATGTAGACTTCAAGAAGGCGAAGGAGAAGGTTATGTTCAAGAAGAAAGAAGGAGTTCCTGAAGGTCTTTACATGTGAGAGACGACACAAGTGTATCATTCTCTTATTTTTTTTTCGAGTTTGCTCTCCATTTACTGTTTCACTCCTGCTTAGGTTTTTTCTGATCATATAAAATCGTCTGCCTTATGGTTTTCTTCCAAATTGGCACCTTTTTTTGGTTTGCATTCCTCAGAAGCTCCTCATTAGATATATATTCGTTTAAAAATTTCCACACTTTTCGTTAAACTAAAATGTATATTTGATGAAAAAGTAACCAGAGGACTAAGAACATTGCGATACATTATTTTACATGGAGTATAAACCAAGTACATCTTATGACATGTATATATATATATATATTTATTTATTTGGACAAAGGAAAAGTTGGTAGAAAAGAAAACCAAGTGAGCTTAAATCCAATACAACAATGTTCGAAGAGTTTTGTAGGAATATTCAAAGGTATACGAACGTCAACGTAATTAGCTGTGTCTTGCTTTGTCAACGACACCTTGATGTCTAAACTCAATATTAAAAGAGAACATGAACTTCCAAGAAACTACAATATAACCAACGTAAGCTTCCAAGAAACTACAATAACCAATAGGCAATAGGAGTAGAGTTATATTATAAACAATATAATTTCTAGGAAAATTCGGAAAAAAAAAAAGATGGTATGTAAAGAAGAAGAAAGATTGGTATGTAAAGAAGAAGAAGAAAAAAAGACAAAATGAGTTCGACTCCTAAAATGAAACACGATGTGTTCTTAAGTTTCAGAAGCAAAGACACTCGTGATCACAATTTCGTAAGCCATCTCTGTGGCTGTCTACGTAGGAAACGGATCAAAACCTATTTGTATGACGAGCTACCAAGCGAAGAGAGATATGAAGAGTCGTTAAAAGCAATCCAAGTATCAAGAGTTTCAGTGATTGTCTTCTCTGAAAACTTCGGGGACTCCAAGTTTTGTTTAGATGAAGTTGTAGCAATCTTGAAATGCAAAGAGAGGTTTGGTCAGATTTGTGATACCAGTCCTCTACCATGTTGATCCTCTCGACATCGAAAATCAGACAGGAAGCTTTGGAGATGCCTTTGCTAAGCGACAGGATAAAGCCGAGCAGCTTCAAGAATGGAGAGATTGTTTTACAGAAGCCATTAATCTCCCTGGATGGAGTACTAATTACTTGAGGTATAACTCCAATTAAATAATACATACTTAAATGCGTTTAACTAGCTTATTATATATATGCTTCTTAATATCTCCCAGAGATGACGAGATGTTGGTGAATGAGATAGCTCGTGACATCGAAAGCAAACTTCTAAGAGCTTCACGAACAAAGGTACTTTTAAGGTCATATTTTATTTCAGATGTGAGAATCGTGACAGCTTCTTTTGTCTTTTTTAAAAAAAAACAGGTTGTATTTGAGTGGTCGCTGGTCATCACCAACCTCATGTTGGAAATACCTTGCTTGGTTTTCGACCAAATCTCCTCTGTCCATAAACCTTTGTATGCATTGGCTGCTATGTCAATGTCATTGCTTTCTTGTCTTCTTTGCCTCATAGATCTCTTACACAAAGGCAGAGTTGAGAGAGTTTTGTGGAAGTGGAGTTGGCCCATTCCTTGGTTTCACTATCCAACTCAGAGATCAAACAGATTTGGTAGCTTCCCAGATATGGTCGGATTGGTTTGCGCCTTGTCTCAAACCATTCTCACAGCTGTTAACTATTCATTCATCACACAAAGAGATGATTCTCCCATCAAATTCTCGGTTTGGCCAATCATGTTTGCGCTTGGTTTACTCTGCAATGTCGATCGATTAATTCTTCTGACCCTCTTATATAGGTGAGCTCTTGTTTTCACCAACATTCAAAATATATTATTTCCTCCTGTTATCATCACTCTGTTTCTATATAGATAAGTGCCGATGAAGATGTTGGTGCATTTGTATCAGGAACTCGAAGCCTTGCGCATATCCACTGATAAGCTACTCAGAATTCCGAATCAAGACTTGGTTCTCTAATGAAAGTTGCCGGAGGAGACGAGAAAGAATGATGATATTGGGTCTATAAGAACCTAAACTCTCTCTCTCTCTCTCTCTCTCTCTCTCTCTCTCTCTCTCTCTCTCATTTAATCTCTTCACTAAGCCTCTGCAACCTGTATGTATTTGATTCCTAGATTTCTGGGTCTTGACATGTACAGCTCTCTTAACTAGTACACGACCCTGAAGAGAGAACAGAACAGAAACAGAAAAATAGATCTGAGACTGCGATTTACATGTTAGCACTCTCTCTCTCTCTCTGTCTGTCTATATTCTCAAAATCGTGTTTGCTTGTGAAAACAGATCATCTGGATCAAGGCCTCAACCTGTTGTATGGTTTCCCTGATCCTCAGATTCCTTGCTACTACTGACCCTGCTTGAACTTGGGTACGATGTGGCTTGATTCTACAAGAAGAAAGAGATAAGATTCTTGCAATCCAGAGGAAATAGATGAATGAATGAGCAAAAAAAAAAGTACCTGAAACTGTGGTGGTTGGATATGGTGGAACTGCTGATAAGGATCCATGTAACCAGGATGGCTCGATGATGTTGGATCAAAGTGCTGGTATAAGACTCTTGATGGGTCAGAAGCATGAACAGAGTAGCTGCTCATATGAGTCTGTGTAGGCAAAGGTCTTTGAGCGGCTACCATATTGGGGAATGGCATAAACGGAGGAGGAGGCCGGTTCATACCCATCTCCATGCCCATCGCCATGTGAGGCATGTAGTGTTGCATACCGGTATACATCATTGGCATCATACCGCATCCCATTGACATCATCTGCATTTATCTTAAGTCATAAGTTTTCATTGGAAATGATTAAATATCCCATGGACTTTGAGCTTCATCAAGATTGTGGTTTTCATGGACACACCTGTATTTGAAGCTGGAGCGATTTCATGTACTCAATAGCTTCATCGAGCATTGAAGCTTTATCTGACTGATAGAACCAAAAGACATAGTTTGAATCAGCAACAAATGGAATAACTTGAAGAGAAAGTCATTTGAAAAAAAAAAACAAAAAAAGACCTTGTTGCAGCGAGGAATGAGTTCTTGCAGAGCTTTCATCCTCTCGTTGATCCTATCTCTCCGTTTCTGTATTCCAACAGATTCTTCTTCATCAGATTCTATGTGAATAAAATCGAAGAAGAATAAAAGGAAAGATAAATTAACTAATAAAACCAGCACAAACCCTTTCAGAGAGATTATGAACTTGTGCAGCTCGAGATCTCTTGGTAGATGTTGTTGATCCACGTCCTTGTTTTGTTTCCTGCAACTCACCAAATTTATTACTATTATTATTAATAGATCAGGAAAAAAAAAAAAAAAAGACTAAAATGCGTCTGGACCGTGTAAAGCACGTTACAAACTAAAATGCACCGAATCCTAATCTGCGCACGATAGCTAAGAGTTGATACAGTGGGGGAAGAGGGAGAGTAAACGACTCACCTCGCTGTCGTCAATGGCTTCTCTCTCCTTTCGTTTCCTCTCATCGACGGTCGTGTTCGCCGTCTCCTGTTGAACAATCACCGCCTCGTTTTCGCTCTTTGACGCAACAGAAGACGATGCACCGGGAATCTCACTCGCCGTCGCCGTCGCCGTCGCCGTCGCGGTCGTCGTCGTGGCCACTTCCTTTCCCTTGGCGAAATTGCACGCCACGGCGGAGCTGGATCCGAAATTAACCGTCCCTCGACCGTCAATGCCGTCTGTACGCCGTGTTAGACCGGATTCGCTCGCCGCCGCCGCCGAAGACGGTGTGGCGCTAGGGTTTACCTGCGTCGATTCTCTCACGATCGCTTTGGATCCAGATTCACCTCTGCCGGTAAAATTCCCTCTGAGCCTCGAGAAATTCGTGAAATTGCGTACCGGCGGCCTGGCGGACGGAACCGGCGGTCTCGGTGCGGTGGTCGCCGGAGCAGTTGGTTGGGCGGAGAAGAGAAGATCTGAGCAGAAATCATCTTCACGGAGAGGATAGTGAAGCCAAGACGCCATCTCGTCTTCCTGGATAAAGAGATTCTCATCTAACGGCTGATGCGTCGGAGGCGGCGGAGGAGGAGCAACTCCGCCGCCGTGAAGCTTCACAGAAGAAGAAGGAGGTTTCTTGTTGGCGTTGTTGAGTCTCTGATTTTGGATAACCACTTGACCGTTTTGCCATAGAAGCTCCATGAGGTCATCTTCTTCACCCCTTTAAATTTTTACAAACCAAAAAAAAATCTATCAGATGAAAAAAAAAAAAAAACTAACAAAGAGAAAAACAGAGGTAAGAACTCTCACATAATGGGTTTTCTGGGAAGATTCAAAGAGGAAGATGAAGAGGAATTAGGGTTAACGTTGGCATAATCATCATCGGTATCGAAGTCGGGAACGAAATGACTCATTATTATCTCTAAAGATGAGAGAAAAAAACCGTTTAGGAGAAAAAAAAATTCTTCTCTGGTTTTCTTCTTTTTTAGTATATATTAGTATCCAAGAAAGCTACAGAAGAGAGAGCAGTACACAGAGTATGTACTAGCCAGAGATTACTAAAACAATATAACTACTAATTCAAGCAGGACCTGGATTTTATTTTATTTTTTATAAACAAAGAAAGTTATCGCCTTTGTTTCTGTGGGATCCTTTGGGTGTCTGAATGTATTCTCGAATTTCGTGCTTTTTTTTAAGAATGTGATAAGCTTACTCTCTCTCTCCCTCTCCTCGTTAATTTTGGTTACTTTGTGTTTTGTCTTTATGTTTCTCCATTTGAGTCTGTTTCTTTTTTTTTTTTTGTTGTTGCCTCTTCGATGACACCATTGTGTATCGTATTTACTGTATCAACTAACTTTAAACAGTAGTAATAAATCTTTTATATTTATATAAGCATTTATGGGTGGGTGGTGTGTGCCGATTTTTAATCCAGTGAAAGAAACACGACGGAAAATGAAAACAAAATGTGTGAGATCATCATCATAGCTGACATTAAAGAGCCTCCAAATTAAGTCTGTCTCTTCTAAAAAACTCGATTTCAAAGACTTCGATAATATTTTAGTCACAAAAAAATCCGCCAATAATGTAATACTAAAAAGATCTGTGGTTCTAAACAAGAAGGGGAAAATATATATGTATATTTTGATGCGGGCGTAATATTGATGGCTCAAGTAGATCGTAAAAAAGAAGAAGAAGATATATACAATACCAATAGGGAAGAAAGAAACAGAGGATCAGACATGGATTCAGTGTGGTGGGGACAATACAAAAAGAAAAAAAATAGTCAATGGAAACCTCAATGATTTATCACACAGGTTAATATGTTCTTGTTCTAAACTATCTTGCATATATTATTAACCTATAATTAATTCAAGCATTTTCATTTAATCGTATGATTATGTGGCAGAATCGCAGAATTGATCTAATACATTCAGATTCACTGAGTATAACTAATACAAAATAGATATAACATCAGCTGTTTCAAACACAAATAAACACACAATGTTTAGGTTTCTAGTTTAGATATACTGTATTAAAGATGTTTCGTATATACAAAAATCAATCTATAGTTTTTCTGTCAAGTATTACTCTGAATTGTAAACAAAATACAAACATAAACAAAATGCAATTATTGGAGAAAACATGGTCTCTATTATTAAAAAATTATATTTTGTAGTAAAATATAGAGCCAAGCATTGATGATCGTTTTATTACACCTAATTCAATTTTTTCCTATGATTGTGAGTAAGGTTAAATGGCTGGTGGACATGGATTTAAAAAAATCAGGACTTAAAAAAAATTATCTTCCTTTTTACAATTTATAATAATGATAGAAAATGAGTTATTTAGAGTGAAAATATAGCATTTTAATGTTAAATACAAATTATATATATGATTTTAGATGAATTCTCTCCATCTTGCTGCCACATCAGCATCTGAGTGGAGGACATCTGTCCTTTCATCTAATTAATAAATTATAAATTTTAAAATAAAAAATTAAAAACTAATTAATACCACTACTTCTAACTTAACTATTATATTTAATGTTTATTTCATATATATTTATGTTCATAACTATTAAATGACATTAATATTAAGGCTTTTCAAATTCTTAATAAAAATAAATAAACAACATTTCTAACTTTTTACATTTCTAACTTTTTGGTATTCGTCTAAAACTTTTAAATATTTTTTATACTAACTTGATACATTTCTTCCGGCCTATCCTCATTATAAACATTTTTTTCGAAGCTTGTTGTATGAAAAATGTAAAGATGTAGCGTTATCTTCATTCAAAGATTTGACGATTTTTATGAGTCAAATATAATATTATTATAGCTGCATTTTATTGTGAAATATAAAATATGAGGTGGTTCTTACAGAATCAAGGCAATTGTACTTGTCATAAATTTGAAAACATTAAAAATCAGAGGTAATTATACGTTTTCAAGCAATTCAACCAGAAAATATGACTTTTATTTACGTCTTTTTTACTCATATCATGTTTATGATTTTTAGAATAGTAGAATAATTTTCTTAATTACCATACTTCCATTCCTTAAAAAAAGTTATTTGTTTTACAACGAATTTATTTTTAAAAAATCTAATACTAAACAGTAAAAAAATTACCATATTCTTATAATTAACTATATATATATATATCAACACATATATATTTTTAAAAATATTATGTGAAACAAAACCCGCGCGTATGCACGAGTACAACACTACAAGAATGAAGGGCTTTTCTGTCGAATTATTTACGACGATTTTTTAGTCGTCGTAATTTTACGACGACGTTACGTCGTATTTACGATGATCAAAAATATCATCGTAAATTCGACGTAAAAAATGACCCTCGTAAAATTGTCGTAATGTTACGACGATATTACGACGAATGAAGAACGAATTTTAATTCTTCGTAATGTTGTCGTAATATTTACATCGATAATACGACTAATTGTTCTCTATCTTGTAATTGACGTAAAATCAATGTAAATGTGATGTAATTTTTATTTCAACGTAAATTTGATGTAAATATGCAATGGTAATATGTTGGTAACCAAACAAAAAATTCTATATATACCCTTTCTTCTCTCATTATTCCATCAACCCAAAAAAATATATAAAGACACAAATTTTTTGAGTCTTTGAATGTTTAAGTAAAATTTTTAGTAGTTGAAATTTATATCAAATTTCAGAAACAAAAAGTCAAATATTTGTTTTTGAAATGTCTATATACGATCTACGAAAGTGGATGTATACGCCCAAAAATGGTGATGGGTCGTTGACTGAAGACTTCAAAAACGGATTGGAAATATTCATGTACCAAGCCGGCCTTATGCAAACTGTAATTGAAAGATGTAAAATGTATTGTCCTTGTGTGAAATGCAAAAATAGGAAACATATTCCTATTGATACTGTCTGACAGCATTTATTGAATAGAGGGTTCATGCCCCAATACTTTATTTGGTATCAGCATGGAGAGGGATATGGTCAAAGTAGTGGTCAGATGGCTGCACGGAGTAGTAGTAATCATCAAGAACATGTGGATTTTGAAGCGTCCAATGATTATCAAAGTAGTCAAGTTCAGGGTGAAGATCATGATAGGATGCATGAAATGGTTACTGATGCATTTCATGAAACACATGCTGATACTGTTGAGGAGCCCAATGCAGATGCGAAACGCTTTTATGATATGTTAAACGCAGCAAAACAGCCTCTGTACGAGGGATGTAGGGAAGGTTTATCAAAATTATCATTGGCAGCTCGGATGATGACAATAAAAACTGATCACAATCTATCTGAAGTTTGCATGAACGATTGGGCAGATCTTATTAAAGAGTATTTGCCAGATGATAATTTGGCTGCTGAAACGTATTATGAAATTCAGAAGCTGGTTTTTAGTCTTGGATTGCCTTCTGAGATGATTGATGTTTGTGTTGATAATTGTATGCTTTTTTGGAGAGATGATGAGAAGCTTGAAGAATGTCGTTTCTGCCAAAAGCCAAGATATAGACCGCAAATTTCTGGGCGTAAGAAGATTCCTTACCAACGAATGTGGTATCTTCCTATCACTGATAGGTTAAAAAGACTATATCAATCCGAACGGACAGCTGCGTCGATGAGATGGCATGCGGAACATTCACAAACAGATGGCAAAATGACTCACCCGTCTGACGAGAAATCTTGGAAACATTTTAACACCGTACATCCAGACTTTGCTAGGTCTAAGCGAAATGTTTATCTCGGTCTTTGCACTGACGAGTTTAGTCCATTTGGTATGTCTGGTAGGCAATATTCATTATGGCCTGTGATTCTTACGCCATATAACCTTCCTCCAGATATGTGCATGCAAAGAGAGTTTTTGTTTCTAAGTATATTAGTCCCTGGTCCAAATCACCCGAAGCGGGCCCTTGATGTGTTTTTGCAACCACTCATACATGAGTTAAACCAGTTGTGGCATGTTGGAGTACGAACATATGACTGTTCGAGTGGTAAAAATTTTACGATGCGAGCGGTGCTTATGTGGACAATAAGCGATTTCCTGGCATACGGAATGCTATCAGGTTGGACAACGCATGGGAGGTTATCATGTCCTTATTGTCTTCATAGGACTGATGCATTTCAGCTTAAACATGGTAGGAAAACCTGTTGGTTTGATTGCCACCGTCGGTTTTACCACCAAACCATCAATATAGAAGAAATAGGCGTTTGTTTATAAAGAACAAATTGGTTCGTCTCCCTCCACCAGTGTACCTAACTGGAGTAGAGCTTGAAGCGCAAATAGATCATTGGGGTGGACTTGAAACGGTCCCCCTTGGAGGAAATTGGCACACTCCTGCGAATATGCCTGAAGGATATGGGGTTCATCACAATTGGCACAAGAAAAGTATATTTTGGGATCTGCCTTACTGGAAAGATCATTTGCTTAGACATAATCTTGATGTTATGCACATTGAGAAGAATTTTTTCGATAACATCATGCATACTGTTTTGAACGTCCAAGGAAGAACCAAAGACAACGTTAAATCACGGATGGACTTACCCGATATATGTAACATAATTGAGTTGCATATGGTGAGTAATGGGAAAGCACATGTTCCTGTATTTCGGTTGGGTGCTGAACAAAAAACAGCATTGTTTAATTGGGTATCATCAGCCGTGAAATTTCCTGATGGATATGTATCTAATCTGGCTAAATCTGTGGATAAAGGACAAAAGTTTTCAGGGATGAAAAATCATGATTGTCATGTGTTTATGCAACGGTTACTTCCTTTTGCGTTTGCTGAACTCCTACCGGGACATGTCCATGAGGCACTAGGAGGCATTGGAGCTTTCTTCCGTGATCTAAGTACAAGGACATTATCAGAAGATGTAGTTGCACAACTGTCTACAAATATTCCAATATTGTTGTGCAATTTAGAGAAAATATTCCCACCTGCTTTCTTCGATGTTATGGAACATTTACCTATACACCTCCCTCATGAAGCAGAGTTGGGAGGACCTGTTCAGTTTAGGTGGATGTATCCGTTTGAACGATTTATGAAGCATTTGAAGGGTAAGGCCAAAAACTTAGCAAAAGTTGAAGGGTCTATCGTGGCGGGAAGTCTGACAGAAGAGACTTCTCATTTCACGTCTTATTACTTTGCTCCAAAGGTTCGTACACGCAAACGGGCTCCAAGACGTTACGACGATGGGGGTGTAGGACAAAGTTACGCAGTAGAAGGTGTGCCTGATATATTCTCACCAATTGGACGTCTAAGTGGGAAACTAAAAGAAACT